GCACGGCGATATAATGCGTGGCAAATTCCACGCATGGCGATATAACGCGAGGGAAGTATTACGCGTGGAGAATTTGAAATTATAGCAAAATTGAAGCGTAGCGAATCTCACGCGTGGTGATACGACACGCGGCGAAATAATGCGTGGCAAATTCCACGCATGGCGATATAACGCGAGGGAAGTACCACGCGTGGAGAATTTGAAATCATAGTAAATTTGAAGCGTAGCGAATCTCACGCGTGGTGGTACAATACGCGGCGATATAATGCGTGGCTATTCCACGCGCGGCGATATAACGCGAAGGAAGTACCACGCGTGGAAAATTTAATGCACATACAAGCACAACTGCAGTAAAGAATCGCTTAGATCGGTTTAATAACGGTTCGATAATCTTATAGAAACAATATCCGAGAATCGAGGACGAAGTAAGATAAAACTATCAAATCCTGAAAGGAGTATTTCCTTTCCGAGAGAAAAGTTATTCGTGCCAGTAGGAGAGATAATGGGGTATACCTTTAGCCATCAAAGCGATAGAGTTAATAATTTAGCATAGGAAGAACAATTGCAGTTATTATCGTTACCGTCTTAGTAATCGTCGGGTTATCGCAGAGTACCCGTCTCCCTGTAACTAGTACCGTAATTACAATAGACAGTGGTAATAGGAGAATCGATTTCCATACGGAAATTAGAGGGAGAGACGATCTGCCGTTCTGCCGGCAATAGAATACGCGTTAAATATCGGGTCAGCGTAAGTAACAGTATCGTTCACCTTCGACTATGTAAATATGTAGATAACGCATTATCTAGTCGCAATTTGCAACTGCAAATTACTCTGTAATTGCTTCGCGCCAATAACTAGCTATTGCTGTCTTGTTACCCCATTTTTATTCAGAATAAATTAAACATCAGGCTCTAGTTGAAATCATACAAGACAGAACTCAAGAAAAGTACCTAGATTTTCGAGTAGCATCACAGAACTCCTCACGGAGTTTGCTAAATTCCCGGTTTATATTTTAAACCGTAGCGATTGAAGCGACCACGAAACAACGAGGCATAGAGAAAGTTTGTTTTCCCTAGTTCCAGGCTCGACGACGTACAAAATTGACTTCGTGTCACGATGAAGTAGTAGGCCGACAAAGAAAATCCATCGTGTCGTCGGGTCGCGAGCGTGGAGCGGGAGGTACAAGGTGTTGGCATCGAGCCGAGTTTGCCTGTGTGTTTCGAAGCTTCATAATTTGCGATCGAGTCAGCGAATTCGGTTGCATTATTAGCCCACCGTGTTCGGTTCCCCTTTATCGCTCGAACAGATCCCGAGGGAGACAAAAACTGTCGGACGCTTCCTCCGGAAAAAAGAAAGATGCGAACATATTCTATTCGCGCCATTCCGTGTTTGTTCTCGCAATCGATCGCGAATGTTCCTTTTTTATGCCAGCCCACTCCAGATTTTATGGGCACCTAAAGCGCGCGTTCCGTTTAATAATGGGCTCAACGACGTTGATGGTCCAGCCATAAATCTGGTCTTAGCGCAGCGAAATAGTCGAACGAGCAATGGGTCGAACGAGATTACGAAACGGGTCTGGATTAAATTCGAAACGGATGGTGGCAACTTTTGTCGATTCAAACGGAAATTAGGACTGTGGAAACTTAGTTACTTTGCGCCTCTATAGTTAGGTTAAAGATTAGAGGACGAAGTTAACGTTAGCTTTAGTACTTAACCCGAGGTAACAGACGTAGCAACCTGGTAAATATACCACATCGGCGAACGTAGTACCACATCAATCCTTTGCACAAGTATACCTCGCACCTAAATAATCCAAAACTACGAGAGATCATGAATGACTCACATTTGGTGATGGAAGACGTGCCGGCGCTGCTGCCCTGCTTCTTAAACTTGTCTCCCATGGTCACCTTCCGCCGGATATTCTTATCCGGCTGAAAGACGATGATGTACACCTTCGGCGAATACAGACACACCAGAGTCACAGAGGCACTGAGGCTGATCGCCACGCAGAGCGTGGTGATCTGAGTCTCGTGCGCGTTTCCAGTTCCAAAGTAGATCGGCACGAACGCCAGCCAGATGATGCAGGTGGTGTACATGGTGAAACCGATGAACTTGCTCTCGTTGAAGTTCTCCGGGATCTTGCGAGTCTTCACCGCGTACACCGTCGAGATCAGGATCAGCAACGCGTTGTACAACTGGGAGAAGAGGAAGCTCATGTCCTGGATGTTGCACTTTAGGATCACCTGCTTGCGGTCTGGGTACGAGAACCTGGTGCCTGGGGGCTCGATGATCATCCACACCAACGTTAGCACGATCTGGAGGAACGTATACATTGTTGGGTCATTCGGTACTCATGTGACTCTTCAGGGATGGATGACTGAAGGATGTGTAAGTCCTAATCCACGTTAACACAATTTGGATGAATGTATACAGCATCATAGGATCATTCGGTATAAGTTGGATGGTTTGATTGACACTTCAGGATTAAGGAGTGATGGAGGATCAAGGACTGAAGGAAGGGTGTTCAAGTCCTAATCCACAACGTCAGCACAATCTGATGAACGTGTGTACAGTATCATTCATTAGGATGTTCTGATTGACTCTGCAGAATTAGGGAGAGATGAAGGATGACTGAAGGAAGGATGTCCAAGTCCTAGTCTATAACGCTAGCACAATCTGGATGAACGTGTATACAGTATCATCCATTCTGATGTTCTGATTGATTCTGCAGGATCAAGGAGTAATGGAGGATGTCTGAAGGAAGTGCAGGTCCCAATTAGATAATGTGGACTCCCACTAAGTTTGGACCCACTAAGTACATACATGACCTCTGTCCTAGCTCACCTGCAAGGCAATAAGAGCAGCAGCGATGCACACCTGAGACGTAGGGCTGATATACCTGGGCCTAACAGCGGACCTAGAAGCGGAGTCAAAGATCCTGGCGATCCTGTTGGTCTTAGTCAACAGTGCCCCATAGACAGCACTGAAGCTGACCCCGACACCGAACCTCTGTAGTATGCAGGTGACCGTGGTGGGTGTGGCGAGCAGCAGGAAGGTGTTCAGATAGCAAACGAGCACTCCGGCCAGCAGAATGATCGTGAGCTCCCGGCCCGACGCTCTGACCACGGGCGTGTCCCTGTGGTGGAACAGCAGACACGCGACCGTCAGTGTGGCCACGATCCCAAGGCACGAAATCACCGCTGGAACGATCGCGAAAGCGCTGTTCCATCTGATGTGGTTGATGGGCAGCTGGTAGCAACCCCGCTTGTCCTCGTGCGGCCAGTAACCCGGCCCACAGTCCACGCAGGTGTACTCGTCGTAGACGAACTCGTACTCCTCGCACTGGTCGCACACCCAGCAACAAGTGTCACCCTGTTGCTTCTTTATCATACCTGGCTCGCAGGGCAGGGAACACGCGGAGATCGGTATGTCCTTTGTGCCCCGCGACCACACCAGCTCCTCCGTGTGGATGTCCAGGGAGTTGAACCATTTACCTACCACCTGGCATAATTTACGTTAGCAAGCAAGTGTGGTACTTTTATAAAATACGGGAAAGGATGAGAGGATTAGGTGTGGCATTTAACGGACTGTGTTTCGATATGGGGATTTGATGGACGACATATGTGGAACGTGAGGATGTGTCACACATGGCGAGTCTAACTCTTGGAGATGTAACGACTGGCTAGTCGAATATGTAGGGAATTTAATATATCACAAATTTAACCTGCAGCGAGTGTAACGTCCAGCAGGTTCAGCATAAGGTGAATTTAATGCATTGTGCATTAAATGCATTGTCATGCATATGTATGATGAATCTATCACATGATGTACCATATGTGAAGCGTCTGAATAAATTGCACATTTTAATGATATATTTTTTAATTTATGTATTTGAGTGCTCCCGTATATTTCGTAACAATTTGATGTCTCGCAAAGCCCTTCACAATTGTAAAATGTAACGCGTTTGAAGAACAGTGATTGACGTTGAAAATGCTCGTGATTCTAGGATGGCACTCGGTGTTCATTGCATGCGCACTCGTGCCATTGAATGGCGGTTACTTTCTTCGTATTTTGCAAATGTCAGGAAGAAATACGAGCGCGAACTATTATCTGGGGTCTAGAGGGATAACTATATCACTCGGCGGAAAGCATCCGCGTCTCTCTCCGCCAAAGATACTCCACTTTGATAATGAGATATATTCGTATGGAAATTGAAATACGAGCGCAACTTTTCGAAAAAAAGATGACCTGGTTTTTATTTCGAACAAATGGCCGACTTGGTGGAAACACGAAGTTCTAACTTTTTGACGATTTAAAGTCACCTTTTCCGGTTGTCGAGGGCGGGGTTAAAGGTTATATTTCATCGGTGTAAGTTGTATCGGACGTAGGAAGGTGGATGCAACGAAGGTCACGTTGCAATTTATGTGCCGTCGCTGGTTTATCGCTGGAAACGCGACCGATGCGGCTCGTTCTAACATTGATTTACGATTTTTATCGAAAAACGATCGTTAATTGAATACAAGAGGGAGTGGCCGAAGGGTGTAGTCAGAAATTGAAAATGCACCCTTTCACGTTGTAAATTCTTCGCCCGAGAATTATTACTTCCTTTCGCTCTAATGTTCGAAATATGTTCCGTAAAACTCCAGAAAAAACCTGCAGCACGAAAGTTATTTCGAGTTCCCGGGAAAACAGAGGTTTTCCCAAAAGTTTTCCAAAAGAGTAATTACCCGGAGGCCGTTGAAATTCGCAGGCTCCAATAAGAGCAGCATTCGGTTTTGACATTATACCGGGGTCGAACGAGCGTGAAAAGTGGCGAACATTTACAGCCAGTCGAGTTTGCCGAAAGTTCTTCGCGGCAGAAGAAGGAGACAAAGCGAGGCCGTATTTCAGAAGTTTTAATTAATCGAGAGAAAAAGTCAAAAGTGCTTTCGCTTACCCGATAGTGGTATCCATTAGTAACGTTTTGGTCCGATTTCCGGAAGTTGAGGATCTCGTAGCGTGCCAGGCCGTCTCCGTGCTCGTCGAACTTCACCTCGCTGCCGGCTAGATCTGGAATCAATCGGTTACTCTCGTTATATTGCCGAATTCAGGGTACGAATGGGCTGTAGTAATATAGGTTACGTTTCGGAATTATCTTGCTAATTCAGCGTAATGCAAATTTAACGCGCGTTGAATTTAACGCACCGCAGACTCAACGCGCGTTGAATCTAACGCACCGCAAATTCAACGCGTGGTAAATCTAACTCATGGCGAATTTAACGCGCCTCAAATTCGACGCATTGCGAATCTAATGTGTCCCGAATTCAATGCGTTGCGAATTCAACGCGCGCAAATTCAACGCACCGCAAATTCAACGCACCGTAAATTCAACGCGTGAGGAATTCAACGCACCGCAAACTCTACGCATTGCAAATTAAGCGCACCGTCAATTCAACGCGTGGCGAATCCAACGCACTGCAAATTCAACGCGTGGTAAATCCAACGCACTGTAAATTCAACGCGTGGCGAATTCAACGCACCGCAAACTCTACGCATTGCAAATCCAGCGCACCGTCAATTCAACGCGTGGCGAATTCAACGCACTGCAAATTTAACGCGCGGCAAATCCAACGCACCGTCAATTCAACGCGTGGCGAATCCAACGCACTGCAAATTCAACGCGTAGCAAATCCAGCGCACCGCCAATTTAACGCGTGGCGAATCCAACGCACTGCAAATTTAACGCGTGGCGAATTCAACGCACCGCAACTCCAACGCGTGGTAAATCCAACGCACCGTAAATTCAACGCGTGGCGAATCCAACGCACTGCAAATTCAACGTCCGGTAAATCCAACGCACCGCAAATTCAACGCGCGGTAAATTGAACGCACCGCAAATTCAACGCAGTCCGAATCCAGCACGCCGTAAATCAGCTAATTCCAGACGCGGAAAATTCACCGCGATAGGAACGAGTGGTAAATCAAGTCAGCAGTAATTGAGCGCAGCCTAATCGATACCAAGGTTAGATTTTCCGACTCCTATCAAATTATAGAAAAGTACATTCAGTCATTTCGCGATAATATCGCGAGGTCTAGAACAAATGTGGGCAGTAATAAGCTGCTCGCTAATGCCTTTCTTCATTAGCGACGCTAAGGCAAATTGGAATATCAGCCGGGTATCAGATCGGGTCGACCCCGTGACGTTCAATTTGTAACTTGGACTGCTACATTATGTACTTATCTAATAAGAATTCCTTTTTTTCATAGTCAATTCGATTAACGTCGCTGAATATTTGACTTTTGTTCCGTCTTTTATGTCGTTTCGCTTCGTGTCAATTATTGATCACGTGAACGAAGCGACGTCCAGTTCGTATCGGATCGTTAAATCGACACGATAGTCTCGGTAAATCGAAACGCGGTACGTATACGTACGTACACACATCGGGGGAAAAAAAAGAAATTTCTTCCGATCCATTTCGCGAGCGACACGGCCGCCCGTAATCTCCGATTCGTCCGGTTACCAGAGTTGGATCGATCGATCGAATCGATCTAATCTGTGGAGCGCGGCAAGTCACCGAAACCGGGACATTATTTCCTGGCCATTTCGTAGAAATCTCGCCTGTCTATCAAACGAATCGATAATGTTGTCCGATTCAATTCGCGATACCGTGTACAATCGTTTCTTTGACGTATTAAGAGAAAATTTGATAGAGAAATCGAGAGGTAATTTTTGTCAAAGCGATCAACTTCCGCTGTTCGCCACCAGGGGGATCGCGATACCAACTTTCTCGCTAGTACGCATACCGTTTCGTGACACAAATTGCGTAACCACGCTTGTGGCACATCGATTTACAGCTTGGAACTTTTGCAAGATGTCTGCATAAATATTTAATTGCGTTCGTGGGTACAGAATGGCGGGTCGTTAATTAAAGCAAGCGATGAGCCGATTTCGAAAGGTAGAACGTTTGACAAAATTTCATGACAGAAAAGTATCACGAAACCAAACTTGTGATACATCGATTTAAAGCTTAGAACTTCTGCAAGATGTCTACATAAATATTTAGCCGCGTTTATGGGTACAAAATGGCGGGTCGTTAATTAAAGCAAGCGATGAGCAATTTCGAAATGTAGAACGTTTGACAAAATTTCATGACAGAAAAGTATCACGAAACCCAACTTGTGATACATCGATTTAAAGCTTAGAGCTTCTGCAAGATGTCCACATAAATATTTTGTAACCTTCAAGTCCAAAATGGTCGACTTTCAGTGATTTCAGCATCACACGTTTTCATTTCGTTAACGGATTTTCGAGGAAAAAATAGCCTCTCCGAAATATATTCGATTCGTAAATCGAAGGGAGAAGAGTGCACGAACGAAACGAATTTTCGGCAAAACCGGTTGAAAAGCCGTCGGTCTTGGATTTGAAAAAGCATCGGTGAAATGGAACGCGGACCCGGTGGTCGCTTTATCCTCGTACGCGGCGCGATAAGGACGGACCCGTTGAAAAGGGTTCAGAGGGAAACTCGTACGAGGCCAGCAAGGCGTCGTGACGCCGACGGACGAGCGGAAACGAGGAAAAGCGAGAGAGGGATGGGGAAAAATGTGGGGGAGGCGGTATCACAGGGGGATCGTGCTGTATCGATCCTAAATGTGCAGTCCAATGGCATTGTTTTTTTTCCCCGGTTTATCAGACCGATGCGCGATGGTGGTTTTACGTCGGAGATACGTTTGATAGAGACCGTGAGAACCACGCGAGTTATCCTTTAAAAGGACGCATTAAGAGGTACCGACGCAATGTTCGAAAGGTTACCTTTGGATGTTTCAAGACTTTGTCCATATCGATAAAACCTCAAGGCCATTTTCGTCGAAAGTCGAAAAAACTGCAAATTAATGACGCGAAATCGTATCTGTACCAGCGAGAAAGTTGATACCGCGAACCCCCTGGTGGCGAATCGTCGAAATTCTCTCGTCAACGCGAGATCGGTTACTCGCTAGAGTGCAGCTATGTAAAGCAGAAAAATCGGAACGGAGTACACAATGTCGGATAGAAATGCAGCGTATGTACCGAAATGTTTGGGCGATATCGTACGAATTCCAACCGTACGGAAAGGAATGATGGAAATCAATCACGAACAAAACGATCGTTGCAGAGGCATCGTAACCACGCAAATTACCCTGGTTTTCAAAGCGTTCCGATCCGGAGGGCTTGTAAAATTTCATATCGCTCGATCCCCCATGAATGTCATCGTTTCAGCGCGTTTATCGGCGGCCCGTCGCGTCGGCCCGATATTATCGCTGGCCGCGTTTATTGCCCGCCACCAAAGGGGGAGGTGGAAAGAATTTAATACGAGAGAGAGGCCATCGATTCCCGAATATCATCCCCCATTGAGCCGAGGTTCCCAACGCGAAATATTGAATTCCGTTCTTCGATGCCTGGTATAATTCTCACCTGTAAAGGACACGTTCAGCAGGTAATTCCTGTAGAAGGCTCCGCGGTCGTAGTTGGCCATGGAGGAGCAGAGGCCCTCGCTTTTCACGCACATGTCCCGCTGGAGGTTGTTGAGGGCAAAGGCGAACGCGTACACGGCGTCCACCACGAACTGCACCTTGGACTCCTGCTCGTAGCCCGTGGACGTGGTTAGCCTAAGCTTAGGCGAGCACACGGTGGCGTTCGGATTGCCCATAAGGTTCTTCCTAAGCACGCAGCTGAACACCTCCTCCCAGTACTCGCTGAACCACGGGTTCCTCCGATTCGTCTCGGGCGTCAAGGAGGCCATGTACTCGTCGAAGCCCGGTATGTTCTTCGATTGAAGCTCAACCGTTATCGCTCCCTCCGCCTCGTCCTCCAAACCCTCCACCAGCTTCAGCTGCCGACCCCAGCCGTCGCTGGCCAGCCATTGAAACGGCTGACTCAGGTTGGATCTCCTCGCCGCCTCCAGAATCCCCCTGGCGTCCTCCGCTCGGGTGAATAGCACCACCGTTCTGGCGTTCGGCTTCTTGCTCAATCTCAGAATGATGTCGTCGAACACCCGGTCGTCCGCAGCGCTGGGCACCTTCACGGCGGCAGCTATGCACACGTTCCGCTCCGTCGCCTCCCTGGTGAACACCTCGATACCGTACTCCCCGTAGCTGCCCTCCGAGTACACGGTCGACACGTACGACCAGTTCGCGCTCTTCACCACGTCCACCAGCGCGATCGATTGGAAGGTGTCCGGAGGCACCGTCCTCGCGAAGTAGTCGAACCTGAGGGTAACAGAGGGTGGATCTAGGATATAGCTTCGAGTGGTCGTAACTCGGGAACACGATTTACCCTGAAGCTCGCGGGAAATGACCGGGGTCAAACGGGATTGCGGATGTTCTTAACGGCTTAAGCATGGAAGCAGTCTATGTCCACCTTTTTGCTTATGGCTACTTTTTTGCCTGACGACACTTCGCGGATGAACGCTAAGGCCATCGGATCGTCAGATATGACATTACTAGATTTATAGAATTGATGCAAGAATCTGTGTCCACTTTTTTGCTTACGGCTACTTTTCTGTTTGGAAACACTTCGCGTATGAACGGCACTAAAACCATTGGAACGTTAGATACGACATTACGAAACTTATGGAATTGATCCAAGAATTATGAAGAGGAACATTATCCGTAAAAGGTGGACACGTCAAAGGAATCCGTTAAAAGTCTGATCACGGGTGACCTTAGAACGTCGAGCCGAATGTGGACCAGCGCATATAGGCGAAAGATCAAAAGCAAAAACGAGTGACACACCAACCTGGTTTTATCGCTGAGTGCCTTGGCAGTGGACGCAGGCGAGATCTGCGGTATGTGGAACAGCCTGAGAAGGTTGGCCACCTGAAGAGACACGGAGCTGTAGGATCCGCCGATGACCCCGAAGATGGGTCCGGCAGTGGCGGTCTTCTTCACTCTCGGCACGGACTTGTCCGCGCACTCCAGCACGCTGATGTCCAAATTAGACAAGGACGCCCTGACGAAGTGCAGGCTCTGATTGAGAGCGTAGGTGTCCCTCCCGCAGGTGTCCAATATGTGAACGCCCATTGAAACGGCTGACTCAGGTTGGATCTCCTCGCCGCCTCCAGAATCCCCCTGGCGTCCTCCGCTCGGGTGAATAGCACCACCGTTCTGGCGTTCGGCTTCTTGCTCAATCTCAGAATGATGTCGTCGAACACCCGGTCGTCCGCAGCGCTGGGCACCTTCACGGCGGCAGCTATGCACACGTTCCGCTCCGTCGCCTCCCTGGTGAACACCTCGATACCGTACTCCCCGTAGCTGCCCTCCGAGTACACGGTCGACACGTACGACCAGTTCGCGCTCTTCACCACGTCCACCAGCGCGATCGATTGGAAGGTGTCCGGAGGCACCGTCCTCGCGAAGTAGTCGAACCTGAGGGTAACAGAGGGTGGATCTAGGATATAGCTTCGAGTGGTCGTAACTCGGGAACACGATTTACCCTGAAGCTCGCGGGAAATGACCGGGGTCAAACGGGATTGCGGATGTTCTTAACGGCTTAAGCATGGAAGCAGTCTATGTCCACCTTTTTGCTTATGGCTACTTTTTTGCCTGACGACACTTCGCGGATGAACGCTAAGGCCATCGGATCGTCAGATATGACATTACTAGATTTATAGAATTGATGCAAGAATCTGTGTCCACTTTTTTGCTTACGGCTACTTTTCTGTTTGGAAACACTTCGCGTATGAACGGCACTAAAACCATTGGAACGTTAGATACGACATTACGAAACTTATGGAATTGATCCAAGAATTATGAAGAGGAACATTATCCGTAAAAGGTGGACACGTCAAAGGAATCCGTTAAAAGTCTGATCACGGGTGACCTTAGAACGTCGAGCCGAATGTGGACCAGCGCATATAGGCGAAAGATCAAAAGCAAAAACGAGTGACACACCAACCTGGTTTTATCGCTGAGTGCCTTGGCAGTGGACGCAGGCGAGATCTGCGGTATGTGGAACAGCCTGAGAAGGTTGGCCACCTGAAGAGACACGGAGCTGTAGGATCCGCCGATGACCCCGAAGATGGGTCCGGCAGTGGCGGTCTTCTTCACTCTCGGCACGGACTTGTCCGCGCACTCCAGCACGCTGATGTCCAAATTAGACAAGGACGCCCTGACGAAGTGCAGGCTCTGATTGAGAGCGTAGGTGTCCCTCCCGCAGGTGTCCAATATGTGAACGCCCAGAGTGATGCCCGGGAGTATCGTCTTGTTCGTGTTGATCTGATCGATGGCGAACAGCATCGCCTCCAGACGTTGAACGCCTCGGTTGTAGACGCTGGGGCCGCAGGAGGAGCCGCCCTTTTCGTGCACCGGGAACAAACCGCCCAGAACTATGTCCCCGGGTATCAGGACGGCCTCCCGCTCGGTGTGCACCTTGGACTGGATGATCACCGAGAGCTGCTGCAGCGACAACAGCAGCAACAGCAATCGGCCGAGAGGGTGGCTCATTTTAGCCGAGTTGTCTAGCTACAAGGACTCGTACGACGAAGATCGCATTTTATGCCGCTTCTTCGATTAGGCTTCGTTCGGTGTCTAACGGGGGTTGGGTCTTAGACCGAGAGGACTCTACCGGCACCTAGGGTGTGGGGATCGCCGTTGGTCGTAGAAAATAATTAGGTCGTCGATTAGGCCATCCGTGGCTATCTGGACCAGCCGCGTCCACGACCATGCTCGTCCATTTCCAGAGACGATTCTAGCAGCTAACGCAGCCTCCGGGGATCAGACGACAAAGTTATCTGTTCCCGCGTTCCTCGGATGCATTATCGGCGACGCGACTCCTCCGGATGGCAGCCCCGTCCATCGTGCCCTCGAGCATCTCGAGTCTTCAGCCCAGGACGACTCGACGGTCCGATGTCCCCGTTTATCTCCGCTCGATTTCAGCCCGCTGCGCGAGTAAGCAATCTCGATATTAATGCGTTAGGATCCGCCGGAGACGGAGAGGATTACCGGAACGCGCTATCGATCGAAGGCGACGACCGGAAACGTATTATTTCCACGACCCGGAAAAACGTACACACGCACCGAGATTTCGACGATTTCCGGGATTCGACTTCCGGATTTCATCGACTCCCGACAAATGTACCGCCTTCCGGAACTGGGATTCTGGGTAGGATACGTATATGGAAAATTTGATATCACGTACAATTTCTTATGGAATAATTTTTAAAGCTCTTGTAAATTATATCGCAAAGCAACCGTGTAATACTTTTATCCGGAAGATTAAAACTGGAAGAGGAATTCGAGCTCGAAAGTTGTCGGAACTTCTTGCTCGATTTTTCTGTATGTGTGGGAGCATTTTTCGGAGCAAAGTTTGAAAAGTTTCGGTGTCTTCAAACGAACAGAACTTTGGGTTTTTATCTGGACGCGTGTCCAATAGTCGGCTGCTCTTTTGACAAACTATCGCCCATTTAAGTCACAGCCAATCCCGGGAGATACACCGATATCATAAATTGTCTGTCACTGTAGGCTTTTGCGGGGAAGATGGCAATTTAAGGGGTTAGACTTGGAGTCACTCGTGACACCACTGTTCAAATATATCGAAAATGGGAGGTTCAGCTTTGAGTTCAATATTGGTTGTAATTTGTTAAATTTGGAATATATACATTTAAAGATTTCTTAATTATTTTAATATTGCAACTGTGATTGGTTAGCTGTAATCAATCAACTGAAGTACCTATATAGCACCTTCGATTTGACCAATCTATTAAACTAACCTCAACACGCAAACCTGGAGAATTAAAGGGAAGAGTCTCCTCTCGATATATGGCCGTTTCTAAGATACAGCTCAGAGTTCATAATCATACCAAAGGTGCTAGCATCAAGGTCCTAACAAGGTTCTAGCATCAAAGAAATCATCACCCCTTAAAATCGTACCTTCCATTCAAACCGAGACGTGAAAGCTCCATATATCGCCGCAAGGGCGTTAATGCCATAAACATCTTCCACGTTGGAACGATTTGGTCCCCGGTCCCGCTCGAAGCAGCCAGCTTACCGTTCGCTTTTCCCTTTTTTCAGCCTGGCCGGAAAACAGAGGGAAAAGCGTGGATGTGAAATTCACGGAGCCGGCTTCGTGGCGGGCTCGTTAAATTTTCCCGACTCGTACTCGTTAAGCGGACTTAATTTCACGGGACTCTAACAAGCGTAGCCTCTGCTTTCAACTTTAAATTCGAGAACCCTTCTTCGTCTCTCTGGCTCGTTCTCGTGCGTTCCACCTTCGGTTCTTAAATCGACGCACGATTTAACGATTGTTTCCGCGGGGCCGTTTCCTGGTACGAGTCTTAAGGTTTGCTGGAATTCCACGCTCGTACAGAGATTAGACTGGTTGGAGCTTCGATTGTGATGAGACCAGAGTGTATTTGATGGGACTGCGTCTCTTATTAACTACTTGCGCATTTGTCGGGTCATAACTCATCACTATGATATTAAAATAGAAAAGGAAAGTTGAAATACTGTTTAGTATTGTTCGTTGACTATGCGAATTATGGGATTTGAGCTCTAAACTGAAGTTTATTTAAATTTCGAGTGAAATCACAGCTGAGTGCGTCACCAGTGCGTCACGAGTGCATCGTGTGCGTCACGAATGCGTCACAGGTTTGTCATGTGCGTCAAGAATGCATCATAGGTGCGTCACGAGTGCATCGTGTGCGTCACAGGTGCGTCGTGTGCGTCAAGAATGCGTCACTGGTGTATCGGGTGCGTCACGAGTGCGTCACAGGTGGGTCGTGTGCGTCATACGTGCGTCACAGGTGCGTCGCAGGTAAGTCGGGTGCGTCATGGGTGCGTCGCACGCGTCACGAGTGCGTCACGGGTGTATAGGGTGCGTCACGAGTGCGTCACGGGTGTACAGGGTGCGTCACGAGTGCGTCATTGGTGTATAGGGTGCGTCACGAGTGCGTCACTGGTCTATAGGGTGCGTCACGAGTGCGTCACGGGTGTTTTGGGTGCGTCACTGGTGTATAGGGTGCGTCACGAGTGCGTCACGGGTGTACAGGGTGCGTATAGGGTGCGTCACTGGTGTATAGGGTGCGTCACGAGTGCGTCACTGGTCTATAGGGTGCGTCACGAGTGCGTCACGGGTGTTTTGGGTGCGTCACTGGTGTATAGGGTGCGTCACGAGTGCGTCACGGGTGTACAGGGTGCGTTTTGGGTGCGTCACTGGTGTATAGGGTGCGTCACGAGTGCGTCACAGGTGTATAGGGTGCGTCACGAGTGCTTCCTGTGCGTCACTGGTGCGTCGCGAGTGCGTCACGAGTGAGACTCGTTACAATAGTGCAAGAACGGCAAAAACTCGTAAAAATAGTGTTAAGAGCCAAGCCCATCAAATGATAGCAATTTGCAAATAAAATTAACAAAAATGAAATAAAATTTTAAAAAATGCCTCCCTTCCACATCTTCGATCACCTAGGTAACAAATGAAGCCTTTCTCTCCCGAAATCGTGTCATCTTTCGATCGTCTACGCGACCTAAAATCTGGAATTAATTGATACCCGTAGATTCCCCGATTGTCGATGACCCGTTTGTTGGGAGCCTATCAGGCTCCTTTGCAAAACGTCGCGACGGTTTCATAGGGCTCACAGAGGGAAAAAAGAAGGGTAGGGCTCTTTTCCCCGGGCTCGGTTCACGAGATGGATGTCCAAATGGAACGCGCATATCGAAAATTTGTCACGTCGCGGACGCTCGCACCGAAATCCCACAAAGTGAATGGGGGTTTTATGCAAACGGGCTTTCAGTTTCCTCCGCCAAGTGCCATCCTACTCGGTTTCTTCGAGGCACGCTCTTTGTTAAACCGTTCCCACTCGGCCCACTTCTGTCACGCGTGCCCAACACGCGCCACCCTTCCTTTCGTAACTAACCCCTCGAAAAATTCCCATTTGTCGATGCTTTTATTCCGCGAATATCAGGATTTATCTCCTGTCAATCATTTCTCCTTTCTCCTACTCGGTATTGTCTCTTCAGATTTTGAAGAATGGTGGATACAGTTTTTGGTGGAGGTACGTGGGAGAATTAGTTTGGGGACTGTAGTTTTGGAAATATGGATTTGGAGGCTTGGAGATTTGGGGAGTGAGGATTTGGGGTTTGGAAATTTGGGGGGTGAGGATTTAAGGTTTGGAAATCTGGTGGTTGAGGATTTGGGGGTTTTGGAAGCACTAGGCATTTGGAATTTGCAAATTGGAGATTTGGGAATTTAGGGGTTGGGGGTTTGGGGGTTGAGGATTTAAGGTTTGGAAATCTGGTGGTTGAGAATTTGGGGGTTTTGGAGATTTGGGAATTTAGGGGTTGGGGGTTTGGGGGTTGAGGATTTAAGGTTTTGAAATCTGGTGGTTGAGAATTTGGGGGTTTTGGAGGCATCAGGCACTTGGAATTTGCAGATTGGAGATTTGAGAATTTAGGGGTTGGGGGTTGGGAAATTATGGACCTCTGGAATTTACAAATTAGGTACTTTAAGATATAGGTATTAGGGTTTGGAAATTTGCAGACTGAGGATTTGGGAATTTAGGGGCTGGGGGTTGGAGATTAGGCGCCTCTGAAATTTAGAAATTAGGTACTTTAAAATTTAGGTATTTGGGGTTGGTAATTAGCAGATTGAAGATTTGGGAATTTAGGAATTGGAGGTTTAGAGATTAGGTGCCTCTGAAATTTAGAAATTAGGTACTTTAAGATATAGGTATTAGGGTTTAGAAATTTGCAGACTGAAGATTTGGGGAGTTAGAGATTGAGGGTTTGGTGAAGAGAGACCTCTGAAATTTACAAATTAGGTACTTTAAAATATAGATATTAAGGTTCATAAATTTGCAGACTGAAGATTTGAGGTGTTAGGGATTGAGGGTTTGGAGAAAAGGGACCTCTGAAATTTATAAATAAGGTACTTTAAAATTTAGGCATTAGGGTTTGGAAATTTACAGACTGGAGATTTGGGAATGTAGGAATTGAAGGTTTAGAGATTAAGAACCTTTGAAATTTATAAGTAAGATACTTTAAAATATACGTATTAAAGTTTATATAGGTATATATAAAGTTTAATATGAAGTTTAGTTTAATTTGAAGCATACGAAGTTTAATACAAGTATTGAAGCGAATAGAGAATTTGAAATGATCGAAAAAATCTCCCAAATCAGTTCAGTTTCGATCGATGAAACGTCGCACCATGAAGCTTTATGGGGTGATCGGAAGCAGCGCGGAATTTCCTGTATCGTCTCGCATCCCTGTGAAACGTTGCATGGGCTGAATATTCACGCGCGTGTTTTCGTATCCCGTTTCGCTCGATGTACTTTCTCTTCGTGCGGAACTTCCCTACTCTGTTCTACACCCTTTTCCTCTCTCTCCGACTTTAAATAAAAAAGGGGGTAGTATCTTCCTGTTTTCACGTTTAGAGTATCGATCTAGTGCAGGTGCATCCAGCAAGCACTCTGGGATATTTACTCGAAGCTTTTGCAACGATTCTATCGCCTCTGATATTCGCGCCTATCTGTCCTCTTTTGACCCATCGACGTTTTCTAATTGCGAGTATTCCTTCTTCGCCTTTTCAACATCTTCGAGCAATCTTTTAATGTTCAGTGCATTTAATTGCTTTTTTAAATGAAAGGATTTTTAAGATCGGAGTCCGCCATTTTGTAGATCGGTGTCCGCCATGTTGAAGATCGGAGTCCGCCATTTTGACCGACGCTTTGGAGCCCGCCATTTTGATCTTGGAATAACAAGTCGATCTAACGTAGTTTCAGAATAGTTTAAGGGTTGTTTTCTCGGAAAATATCAAAGGAAACTTGCACGTGTTTATTAAGTAAACTTCCTACCATAATTTAGAATATGTAAAGTACAAAATGGCGGTGCTACAGTTTTCCCTTTAAGAGTAGACTACCAAGAGTTACAGCTACCAAGAGAACTTAA